TAAGGATTTTGCATTTATTGGATTTGTTTTTTAAAATTACGCAGAGCATGCATGCTCAAACCAAGACCTGCCAATATACATGGGCCACCCACTAAGAAGTCCATCCATTGTTCTCATTCTCAGTAACCACTTCTGCCCAAGTGGAAGAAAAGGGGTATTAAGGTAGTCTCACCCCCCCATGTAGCTTTATGCCAAGCAGAGCTTTGGATTTCTACACTTCTTATTATAGCTTTATGCCAAGCAGAGCTTTGGATTTCTACACTTCTTATTATTATTCTTTCATAGTGGCAGTAACTGGACTAGGACCAAATGGTTCCAAGCTGTGACATTTGCAAGGGATCATTGAAAGCTACCACTGAACTGTCCAAACTTTGATAAAAGCGAATGTTCTGGTCTTTTTCTTCCCAGAGTTAGCACTCTAGTTTGGAATGTTGCTTATAAAAGGTTATTATTATTATGTTTTCTTTTGAACTTTTCATAAGAAGCAGCTTAATAGATGGAAGGTTTTATAGTTATTATGGTATTTCATTTGAAAATATTTTTGAAAATGAGACCTTGCAAGGGATATGAATGTTTCTACCTGAACTCATTAAACAATATTTCATGCTGATTTCCTGCTTTCTCTCATTTGAGATAATTTTGCTCTATTTAAGACACTTTTTAGACTGAAACAGATCCTTTATATTTTTTAACCTTTCAAGTATAATTGGCAATCTGCATACCAGAGAAATAATTATGTAGACTCAGGATTTTAGTATTAGGGTTTTAAAACTTCTTCCATAATTCTGTCTTGCTAACTTAAAGTTGATATTCCTTTCTTGTTTCATTTACATATTTTACCTTTGATGTCTCTGTGTAAAAGTGGTGCGAGGAGTCGGTTTGAGGAGAAGAGTAATGCTGCTGTGAGAATATTTTTACTTCTTTTTGGTTAGATTTGCCCCCCTTGCGAGATTATCTGTGTCATTATCTGTGCTCGTATTTAATGTCTTAGAAAGATAATAAGTTGCTGAGTATCTACTCTGCCAAGTGTTGAGTTAAATGCTATACATGAATTGTGCAAGACTGTTGAACCACAGATCTGTACCTCTGAAACAAATAATGCAATATATGTTAAGAAAAAAAAAAAGAAAAAGATAGCAGGAGGGAAAGAATGAAGGGGGGGAAATCGGAGGGGGAGATGAACCATGAGAGACTATGGACTCTGAAAAACAAACTGAGGGTTCTAGAGGGGAAAGGTGTTGGGAGGATGGGTTAGTCTGGTGATGGGTATTAAAGAGGGCACGTTCTGCATGGAGCACTGGGTGTTATGCACAATCACGGAACACTGCTTCAAAAACTAATGATGTAATGTATGGTAATTAATAACAATAAAAAATTTTTTAAAATTCAATAAAATAAAAAAAAATGCTATACATGTATTTCTCATTTAACCATCACAGCAATCTTTGGAAATAGAATTATCCTCCCTATTTGGCAGATGAGGCAGCTAAGCCTTGGAAAGGTTAGTTTGCAAAATACAGAACTGGCTGATCAATTTTGAATTTAGATTTTTCTCAAAATCCCATGCCCTTAATATCTTCATGTCATGCCATCTCCCAGAACATTCCAGGAGGAAAACTTTCAATGAAGGCTACAAAAACATTTGCTCATTTCCTCATTTTGTTATTTCTTCATTTTTTTTTCCTTTTCATACTTTTATGATGGAAATGATTATGGAAAATGCAAAAACCACTCACTGAGTGTTTATCTAGCTTTGTAGAAATCTGCTGCTGTCCAAGTGGATGTCATGTGTACCTCTGTCACTATCCTTTGTAATTCCCTTGCAGGAAAGGATCCTTGCTGGGTTGGATCCTTCAGTTTGCTTATGTTGGAATTTTGGAATTTTGATTCATTGTATTCTTAACATTTCTAATGCCCTGATATCTGAAGTGAAGAGTGTTTTTAATATAAATTGTGCTTATCTAAAATAACAAAATCTTATAACTACAAATCCTAACCACTTTAACCTAAAAATCTTCTTTTCGGGATCATAGCACTGTATGACTTTCTAATGTGTTTCATATTCAGTTTTCCTGGTGTGTAAGTTCTACAGCTTCTACAGTTTGAGGCTAAAGAAAATTTCCAGCAAATACAAAGTAAAGAGCACACACATACTCACCTGATAGTTTGTTTTGATGCACATGTAGTTTTGGTAATACAAGTGGTTTATATTGGTTTTCCTTTCCACTATAAACTAGATTTTATTTGGTAGTGATGTGTCTTCTTGTTTGTGTTCAAAGGGCAGCCATTCTACAAAAGTGGAAGCTGTGGTCAGAACTCTGATGAGAATCCACCTTAGAGACCCAGGCGCTAAAGCACTCGTCTTCTCAACGGTACAGTCAACGTTTTCATCCTGAGTCTTAGCTCGCACTGGCTTTCTGTCTCTAATCAGTTTATATCTGAGAACTCATGTTTAATATTCACCCTAATATAGTTGAGATTTAGAATTACTGCTAGTTTATCCATGTTCATTTTTTTTTTCGTCCATAGGATAGAATTATTTTTAGAGAAATTTGGTGGTGTTTTACAAGGCAATTTCTATAGCTACATTTCCTGTTAATATGTTTTATGGGGAATTTCTAATATTAATATGTTAAAAATTAGAATCTATAACCTTGGAAGTCTCATTTCACAAGTGAAATTGGTCATTTGAGAAAAAGAAAGTTAAAGTAACCCACTGAATAAAATACCGAGTAAAAATTCTAGTTTTTATTTTTAAAAGGTAAGCAACTATATCCATTAAGCACTCCATTATTTATTTTCTATTATTTATGTTTATCTTAATTCAGTTCCCAAAGATACCCATGTCTTTTACCCTCTCTTTAACCAGCATGTGATTTAAAACAAATGGGGGAGGGGGACCACTTCCAATTTGGTAGTATGAAATACTGTTGATGGAACCACATTTGAAGGTTTGTTTTTATATTTTCTTAATTCTGAGGTACAAAGTTATTTAGATTTAGTCCCTTTTCAACTCCTTTTTATATGAAAGCTATGTGTAAATATTTGTTTTCTTATTGTTTTATGTGTTCTAGTGGCAAGATGTATTAGATATTATTTCAAAAGCCCTCACTGACAACAACATGGAATTTGCTCAGATCAGTCGTGTTAAGACATTTCAGGTATGTCAAGAAGATTTTTCTTGCTTTGAGGTGGGGTGGGGGCGGTGGTTGGATTTAGTTGCAAATTGAAACTGCTATTCATAGCTTACTTGCATTTATTGTCTTGTGTAAGGGTTTCAGTTATTGATTCATTATAAAATTAACATCAAAAGCAAAGTAGCGAAACTGTAATTACTTTCTATCCATTTATACCCATAGCAAGATCATTTTTTTTAAAGATCTTGTGACTTGAGGTTGTTTGCTTCTCTAGAGGAAAAGATGGCCTATGATACACCTGTTGAATGGACAGGGCCCTCATGCTGGGATTAGGTCCTCAAGACACTGCCAGGCAAAACTCCATATGGTCAAATTCCTTATGCTACACTGAGCACAACAACAGGCGCAACCCTAAGAGACAAAAACAGAAAGACCAAGTGGAAACGTAGCAGATTCATGTCTCTGATCTCCTCCTCACTCTGACACACTCTTTCTCATTCTCTCTCTTTTTTCCAAGCTCATGTAGTTTAATTTGCATACATCATGCACATGTATCTTGTGCTTCCACTGTATCAGAAAAAAACAAGAGAGTTTATGTGACACTTCTCCTCATGAAGTCAGGCAACAAGTTTGCATTTTCTAAAATTGGTGATTTTACATTTTATTGTCTTAATTGTTACATTTCACAATGACCTGGATGCTATTAGGCTTCTTAATATGAACTACAATATACTGCTCTTATTTTTAAGTGATCCAACTGAAATTTAAATGTACCTTTCTTTTCTTAGGAGAACCTTTCAGCATTTAAACATGATCCTCAAATCAATATTCTGCTGCTGCCCCTGCACACTGGTTCTAATGGATTAACTATCATTGAAGCAACTCATGTTCTCTTGGTGGAGCCCATATTGAACCCTGCCCATGAGCTTCAGGCCATTGGAAGGGTGCACCGAATTGGACAAACAAAGTAAGGACTAAAATTAGCATCAGTTACATTTGCTTCAAGTTTCTAAGATACAAGTCGGTATTTAAACTCTTCATTTATGTTCATTATAACCTATTCATTTTTAATCACTTATTTATTAAATTTTCAAGTATATGACCAAAAGACATTTTGAGATTTCCAACTCTCCCTCCTCCAAACAGCAAATCCCCGAATTCTCCCAGATTTTTGTCTTCCCTCCTTCAGTCTACCTGATC